ATTTTAAATAAATTTCCCAACATGGCAGTCACACAAATATGAAGTGATAAACACAACAGTAACTGTAACTGCAGGGTATTGCGTAATATGTAAATACTGGCGATTCCGGGAAATGACATACTGATTCCGACAAGAGTTGGTAAACGGTATCTTTGCAGGAATTTTTTATTTTCACTTGATGAAATTTCGTAAATAATAGTTATTTCCTCGTTCCGGATATCACTCGAATTGGAAAAAAAAAAGAAGAAACCACGAGGTACTTTTATTTATTTATTTATTAACATCTCGTGTTCTGTAGCTTATCACTTGCTGTCACGAACGTGATATGATAAACGTGCGTATATACGGCGCATCGATTCCTTACATTTCAGTGCTGTTTATTGTTGCATTCCTTGATGTGCTGTTAACTACATTCAAAGCAAAATGATTTCAAAACTGTTTGTTAGTGTTTTAGCTTGTTTTTTTCTCTTCACATCATGTTCTCTTGCCGTATTGATGACACAACCTGAGCAGGTGCATCTATCGTATGGATCAGTTCCATCGGAAATGATGGTTACGTGGGTAACCCTTGATCCAACGAATATTTCTACAGTGGAATATGGGTTCAACAAACTTAGTTTACGTAAAACAGGTAGCATGACAAAATTTGTGGATGGTGGACCAAATTCTAGAGTAATTTTTATACACAGAGTTTTATTAACAGATTTGAAACCAGGTTCTGAATATATTTATCACTGTGGTAGTGCTGATGGCTGGAGTGCTATTTACTGGTTTACAGCTATGCAGAGTGGAAGCAACTGGAGCCCAAGATTTGCTGTTTATGGAGATATGGGTAATGTTAATGGACAGTCATTACCTCGCTTACAAGAAGATGTTCAAAAAGGTATGTATGATGCTGTTTTACATGTGGGGGATTTTGCCTATGATTTGGATACTGATGATGCTAAGGTTGGAGATGAGTTTATGAGGCAAATAGAAACCATTGCTGCCTATGTCCCTTATATGACTTGTGTGGGAAATCATGAAAGTGCATATAATTTTTCCAATTATGATAATCGATTCAGCATGTTGAATAAAGAAGGCATCATGAATAATCATTATTATAGTTTTGACATTGGACCTGCACATATCATTGGATTCTCAACTGAATTTTATTACTTTCTTGAGTATGGTTGGACACAAATGGCATATCAATACCAGTGGCTTGAGAATGACTTAAGAAAGGCGAACCTTCCTGAGAACAGAGCACAGAGGCCTTGGATCATCACAATGGGTCATAGACCAATGTACTGTAGTACTGATGATGGTGATGATTGTACACATAAAGAAAGCATTATAAGGAAAGGGATACCAATTCTCAAAGCATTTGGGTTAGAAGATCTTTTTTACAAGTATGGAGTTGATTTGGAATTATGGGCACACGAACATGTATATGAAAGGCTGTGGCCAGTGTATGACAGAAAAGTGTATAATGGTAGCTATGATGCCCCATACACAAATCCTAAAGCTCCTGTTCATATAATCACTGGTTCAGCTGGCTGTCAAGAAAATCATGATCCTTTTGTTCCAAATCCTGCTGGGTGGAGTGCTTTCCGAAATGCTGATTATGGTTATTCTCGAATGTATATTTTAAATAACACGCATTTATATTTAGAACAAGTATCGGATGATAAAGGTGGACAGATTATTGATAAAATGATGCTTGTAAAAGATAAACATGGACCTGAAGCATGGTTGTAAGTAAACATCCTAAAATACAATATTGAAGTTTTATTTATTTATTTTTTCATAAATTGAAGTAAATATTCAAAAGGATAAAATCTCCTTTTATTGTGATATGTATAGATGTATAATTTAAAAGAATATACCAAAAAAATTCATTGAAAAATAGTGGGCCATTTGCTTTGTAATACATTTTATTTTATTTTTTTCCTGCAGTTATTTTTCTTGTTTGAGACTTTATATATGTATAAATACGTTGCATCCTTTTTAGTGTAATTAGTTATTTATAAAATGTTTGTTTTATTCTGTGTATCTCTTTTATTTTATTCATTGTTACTATTATTTAACCTTAAAAAGAATATATCTTCATTTAAGTATGAGTGAATAATCAACATCAGAAATTTTTAGAATTAATTATTGCAATAAATCAATTTGTAATTTTACTGAAATTTACACATATTCCAAAATATATCTTGTTTTCTCTAAAAGACATGAATGTTATTTAGAAAAGAAAATATTTATAACTTGAACTTGTATAATGTTTATGCATAGTATGATCTAAAGTTACCAAATTTGAAATGAAATATATGTATCATGAATATTTTCTAATATTTGATATACTACTTTATGCTCTCATCTCATTCAACTGTATTGTTTTATAACTCTGATAAATAAAATGCTCAACATTTTTTATTCACCAAGGAAATTCTTAAGTAATAATTAAATTTGGACTCTACAATATTAAAAAATCTGATTATTTTTAGTGTCTCCTATATAACTACAGCTTTCATATGATAATTAAATGAAATCATGGGTTGTCTGTAACCTTTGCATAAATAAGATTATTACTCTTACACAAAAATAAAAAAATAAAGGTAATGTAATCTTACTCATCTGCAGGGGGAAAAAAATGTTTCATTTGACCTCTCTTTTCTACAGATTTTGAAGGGCAAATGTCATTTTTATTCCAGAGTGAAAAATTTATCAGATAATCTTAATTTAGAATTTTTTTGTGCATTCATTTAAAAAATTAGTAATTTACTAAACAGTGGATAAATAACAGTTATTGCTGTAGCTGTAAAGCTCGATATGTGTAAAAATATTTAATGTGGGTGTTTATTTTTCTATTTGTTTTGAATATTAGAAGTTGTACACGCAAGGTCATAAAACAGTTGAGATTTGGATTTAGTTTTTGTTGAAATTATTAAATTCACTCTCCCTTCTATTAATTTGTACACATTTATGTTAGTAAAGAATTATTTTACTAGTCCACAGTTATTGTTTTATGCTCAAGAGTAATACGAAATCATTCTCATTTAACACTTATTATCATAAAATTGCTTAATGCTGTTATTTTAAAATAAGTATTTATTTTAGTGAGTTGCTTCATGAACTCATTAAAATAAATACTTATTTTTAAAGTATTAAGTGTACTTAATTATGTATGAAATAATTTTAAAGTAAACTTAATTACGTAGCAAGCAAATTTACAAGGTGGTTAAAATTAAACAGCCCTACTCTGAGCTTTCTATACATCAAACTACTGAGTGTAAAGGGTCTAGAATTGTTAAACATACTATTCAAAACATGGGGAAATGGATTACGTGAAAAACATTAGTTCCAGAAACACCGATAGTGGCGCTGTACAACAGAACATATGCTGAAAAGATGCAAAATACACTTTACAACACAGTTTATTCGAATGTACCAAACATTCATATCATAAAGACGTTATCGATGCAAGGGAAGCTTCTCAATATGGTTTCCTTCTTCAAGATGTAAAATCTGCAGTCTGCGGACAGCTTGTTCAACTGCGGATCGTAATTAATCGATTGAGATGCTTCTCACATGCAGAGTGATAAGAGATATGCCAAAGTTATCAGACGTCATCGATAAACAAGATTTTTTGAGTAAACCGACAGCCCAAAATCACATGGATTAAGATCTGAAGAATGAGATGGCCAGAGAGCGAAATTGAAGTTATAATGACAGTTTTTCAACATTTCAGTGTTCTTTTTTTTCATATCAGCAATAGAAAATAAAAAGAAATATTTCCATACTTCATGTCTTCTTTTTTTTTTTTTTTTTTTTGTAATTATTTGTTCCCTTTTAGTATATTTTATACTGCACAGTGCCACCTATTGGTGTTTCTGGAACTAATTTTTATTTTCACGTAATCCATTTCCAATATCTTGAATGTCTAACAATTTTGGGGCCTTTACACTCAGTTGTTCGATGTATAGAGAGCTCAGAGCAGGGGTGTTTTAATTTTAACCAACTTGTATACCAGACACTTCTGTCACCTCAACAAATCGTTTAGGAAGTTCTAAACCCAAGTCGTGATTTTCAGAAATGTTTTAGTATAAGATTTAGGATTAAATTCTATTAAAGATTTTCCTTTTCCAGATTATCATTAAAGCAGAAATGTATTATACAGTCAAATAGGATCTTGTTATGGAAGTACTGTTCATCAAGTTGAAAGCCTGTTCAGCTTCTGTGCTGCTAGTGCAACACCTTGTTGAATCTTCAAGACAGTATTAACTAATATAACTTTCACTTTCTTTACATTATTGGGAATTTTATGACATAGTTCTCCTATTAAAGCCAACTTAGTGAAATTTTGAAAATAATTAATTTCATGGTTTAATATAAAGTTTAATGTTTCAAAGAAACAGGCAAACGATAAGAACAGGGGGCAAGGCTCACAAATTGGAGACAAATATAGAGCCTCTTGTAGCTCACTATGGGTTGTAACTTCAGTGATTCAGTTTGTAGATCATTACAATTATCATTATGCATATCATTTTTGCATATTGCAGCATTTATATGGTAGTATGTATTTCTTCAAAAAGGGGGAACGCTTATGCTAGCTAATGCCATTGGCTAACTTTGGATTTTTTCTCTTGGTAAACAGACCTTTGTCAACTTCTGGAATACACCTGGTCCCATATGTGTACTTCTGTCACTTTCTCTTTGAGCTTTGCATATCTATTGATGTTCTTCCAGTTTTTCGTGATTTTATTCACTATATTAAGATCTAGGGCAAAATTTGATTAACTCCTTCCATTTATATGGTAAATAAATCATGCAGTTATATCAGTGAATAATAATATAATAATCAGTGAATATTTTATTTTATAGTTTGAAAACCCTGCAGCTCCATAATTAAGAAGCTGAAAGAAAACATTGTAAAATTTTATAAACTAACTAACATGAGACAGTAAAATCAAACAGAACAAGATTGAATGTGACTTCCTGAAAATGCCAGTGTTATATATAGTCACAGCAGTGCAGACAATTATTAAGAAGTTACCTGCAACAGTCTAAATCAATAAGCAGTAAAAATATTTTTTGGTTATAAATTTGGAGTATTTTTACTATATTCAACTACATAAGAAGATAACATAAGAAGAGATATGTAGAATATAAGATATTATGTTTGTTTGTTGGAATATGGAAAAGCACAGGGCCACCTTAGAGACAGATACCTTTTTAAAGAACTTTCAAAGGAAAATTAGCTAGCTTTTGTATATATGCTAGTTATCATAAATTAAGGAAAAATCACAATTACTGAAAAATTTCATGTAGACGTTATAAAACTTACCCACAATATCCACTCATATACATATCAAATACATAAAATAATTACCAACAATATGGTAGTATAAATAGCACAGTATCAACTGAAGAAATCGCAGGTCTCGTTTGTATAGAAAAGACCTTCGATGGAATATGGTAGCCTCTGGAAGCAATATAGCGATGCATATGCTTTCTTATGTGGCTGTCATTCCATAGGAAGCAGAGCCAATTGCTCTTCTAGCAGTTAGCAATTGCGGTAAGGGTCTGATTTGGCGGATTGAAAGCAGATAGACGTCTCTCTAAATCACTCAAATGTGCTCTATAGATTCAATCGGAATCGAGCTGGCCACCCCCCATGGGAAAATTGTTTCCGAAAACCTCTCATCATTTCGAGGCGAGCCCTGTGTGGGTCTTGCGTTATTGTCCTGACCAGGAAAGCTCACCTAGTGCCCCGGCATGGTGCCATAAGCATCAATGATTCATCTCTCGAACAGAGCATTCATGGTCTCTCCCTTAAAAAAGATTCAGGTCTGTCTTCACCAATAGATGCATCTCCAAACACGACCTGCCTCTTTTGTATGCCTCTTCACGATGTTTGACGAATGATAAGGGTTCCAGGTTTCTCCATAACAATAACCCTACTATCCTTTCTAGACAACCTAGACTATTCGAAAGAGACCACCCTCCAGTGATCAGGCGTCCATAGACATGTTTGTCGTGCCTATGCAAGCTGTCCCTCCTATGGTGTACGTGAGCGCACGCAAAGGCTGCCGCTCCATACAGACCAACTTCTGAACCTTCTATGCACAGTTGACGTTACACCAACCTCTGGTGGCTGCAGCAAGGGAGGATTTAAGTCGGAGTAGCGGTTCTATCCCTGGTGCACATAATGTCAACTATCGGTCATCAGCGCTCGTGGTAGCAGTTGTCCGTCCTTGGCTGAACCTCCTATATGCCGAACTCTGGTTTGAAATTGCCTCCAAAGTCTATGATCAAGAAGGACTCACTTATCATCTGACCAGCCTCTGTTTGACTTATCCTGGGCCGCTAGTCTCCCAATGGCTCTCCATCTTAGATTCTGCAGGCATGATGCCTGAGGTATGGTTTCGAATTGGCTACAAGCCAGATTTTTCTGATGTCACTTTCACAGTGATATGGGACTGCTCTCAGACATGACTTTTATTCTCCTCGCAGATGACAGATTCCAAGTGCAGCGTCACTAATTTGCATATTGCAGTTTTATTCAGCTACTCTTACTTGACAACATATTCAAATTTTACACGGTTTGCCTTTTTTTGAAGGAGTTATCGCTATTTTTGTGATTTTTCCTTAATTTATGATAACAAATGTATTACACATGGGAAGAACCATGGAATCATTTATGCACAGATCATTTTTGTCAAGTTACGAAAGTTGAACTGTCAGTGTTCAGTGGTCTAATCCCTCAACCACTTTTTAGCCAAAAGATATCCTGAAAGTTTTACTTAGCATTTATGCTACATATTGATTACACACATACATATGTGTGTATATATGTACATGCACACATGCATGCATTTCTGAATCTGGTTTTGATAACAAAAAAGTACTAAATATTTTCCAAATACATAGCATTTGAATTGAAAATAAAATAATCTGACAATTTTGTGTGTATAGCTTAAATCAAGAATTGTATGTTTTCAAATGTATGCATGTAAAATTATTGATGAACCATTGTTCAGGAATTTTATAAATTGCTTTTGAAATTAATATATCATAATTTACATAAATAGTTTGCGAAATATGGTAATAAGGCCTCTGTATAATAACGAGATACATAAAATATTGACACAAATTAATCTGAAAAGAGATTATGGCTTTGTATTTTTACCATTAATAATAAAATGAATTTCAGGCCAACGTATATGGTATTTCTCCTGCCTTCGTGGTGTAATGGTCAGCATACTCAGCTTGTATTCGAGTTTCAGTGAGGGTATTCCTCATTTCTTCGTTTTCCTGAGATCAGAAAATTTCAAGTTACCTTTACAGTGGCACCCGAGCTAAGAAAGGTGGTGGATGATGATTCTCCACCACGACGATTTGGCGATTTCTCCCGCCTTCTTAGCATGCCTTTATGGTGTAATGGTCAGCACACTCAGCGTGTATTCGAGAGGTCTGAGGTTCGAGTACCGGTGAGGGCATTGCACATTTCTTTGATTCCTTGTATTAAAAGAAAATTCTAATAAACTCTACAGTGGCACCCAAGCTATAAAAGATGGTGGATGGTGATTCTCCACCATCAGGATTTGGTGATTAGGTCCTCTAATCCCCATTCGCCCAATAAAAGGGGTGGGGTGTATAAGGTATTTCTCCTGCCTTTTAACATGCCTTCGTGGTGTAATGGTCAACGCACTTGGCATGTATTCAAGAGATCCGAGGTTCGAATCCTGGCAAGGGCATTGCTCATTTTTAATGTGTCTTGCTTCGAAATAACCTAATGTCTCTACAAGCCTAATGAAAAAATTTTCTATATCTTTATTTATTTATTCAATTTTGTGTGCTGATGTAGTATGTGATCTACCACTTATATTAATTATTTATGTTTTAAATGGGTTGTTGTTTTAATTATTTCTTTCACTTGCTTTTTTTTTTCACAGAAAAATGTAAATGCTACTGAATTTTTTATTTTATGAAGCTATTATTAGTTGATGG